GGCCTCTAACAGGGCTTCTTGCATCCTCCGGCAGATTCTTGCTGCGCTGTGTCTCCCGGCGCAGAAGGAGCCGGGGGCTGCTGGGCCGGTGTCCCAGGGAGCTGGGCAGAGCCGGGAGGTCTGCGCGGAGCCTGGGGAGTGGGGATCAGTGGGGGGGGTTGGGTTCGTTCTGTGTTGGGGACTGAGTGCCTCAGCTGCATCCCAAATCGCGTTCTGTCCATTTTAGTATGGCTCTATGGCCCTCTTTCTTCTCCTGCCACTTGTTCCTCGGGTTTGTCCTCCAAAAAGACACTCAAAATGCTTTCTGCTGTGCTTTCTGTAGCGAGTTTTTTATCGCTTTTCTTGTGTTCTAGTCTTCCTGTCTATTCAGGCAGCGGACTCTGAATTTAAGACAGTGGTGTTCACCTGCTTTGAGCCTTAGTGCTGTGGAGTTCTGCTTCTGATAAATAGCTGGGTGTTGATGTAGTAGATATGATCACTAATAACAGCCTAATGGGACTGTGGAAGTTCTCTAGAAAATATTAGCTTAATTGCTGTGCCCCAAAGCAAGAGAACAGCCTGTAAATGTTCAGGAGGTCTTTTTCTTTAGCAACTGAATCTCTGCTGGGAATCATAGAATGGCCTAGGTTGGAAGGGACCTTAGAGATCATTTAATCCAACCTCCCTGTCATGGGCAGGGACGCCACCTCTCGACTAGACCAGGCAACACATGGGGACCAAGTGGGATCCATCACAGTGTTCTTGTTTTTACTTTTACCGGTTTTTTTGTGGTCTTTAACCAAGGTCTTCCGTGCTATGACTTAAACCTGTTATGCCATGTCATTCACTGTGGCTGCAAAGAACAGATTTTTTCTGTTGTCGTCTCTGCAGCAATTATTTATGTATTTGAAGGCTCTTAAGGCATGTTCCCTCCAGGCATCTCCTGTTTAGACTACCCAACTCTGATTTTTATCTCTCCTAGTCTTTTCATTTCAGTCGTCAGGGCTCTGATCACTTGTATTGTTCTCCTGGATTCTGTTCTGCTGGCCTCTGTATCCTCTTAGGTGCTTGCGGAGCTGAGGACGTGCTCCAGTTCAGGCTGGGGTGATCTCAGAGTTAAAAAATAAGAAGAGCAAGGATATAGACAGAGTACAGTGCAGGTGGTAGAAATTAGGCTGAGAGTCTTGAATACTGTGGAGTCAAACATAACCTTTCTGTCACTGTTGCCCTGTTGCCTGTGGATCAGCTTGGTAAAAAGCATTGGTGACTGGTACTTGCTGTGGGGCTGCTTCTGACAGAGACCAAACACCTCTGTTAGGGTTAATGTATCCAGTTAGCAGGGAGGGCTGCAGAGAGGCCTGTGAGCTTTGCTTTCATCTGAATGTGCTTCTCCAAAGTGTCCTGGATTTTACCTCCTTTAACTGTGAGCTTGCCTTTTTGCCTTCCAGGGCCGGCTTTAATCTGTTCTAGTAAGAAATACTTACCTTTGCCCCTTAGGATCCACTTAAATCCACTTATATCTGCTTCTGGTTTGATTGTGAGGTGTCTTTTGTTTGTGTGCTGCCCTGAGGCCTCTGGGTTGCTGGTGCAATGCCAATTCTTGCTGTTAAGATATGTGCAAAAGCACCTACTTTACCTAAGAAAGTAAACATTTATTTCCAGAACATGCTGATGGTTGGGTAGAATGGATGGTACTTTTCTCTTTTAAACTGAAGAAATAGGGGAAAAAGGGATCTAGATAGGGAGTGAAGAGTAGGAATTAAAGGCATCTTGCTTATGTTATAACATAAGGAGCTGGTACTTGCAAGGCAAAGACTCACAGTTTTTTAGAAAATAAGTATGATTTTGAAATGCTAGAGCTGAGGCAGTGTAAAGGGCAACTGCTGCTGAAAAGCGTGTTCCCGTTCTTTTTCATTCTTCATCAGTGCCAAATCTGGCATTTGCATGACCCCAGAATGAATCAGTCTGAAGAATTAAACTGGCAAGAACATCTCGGGACAAAAAAAGAAAGAATGCTTGTTGGCTGAGCTGCCCAACTTGATACAAGCCCCAGCAGGGCTGCATGGTGGGCAGTGCGACTGCAGGGAGTGGGAGGTGCTTCCCCTTGGGTTGACTTGAATTAGCCTGAAACTGCAGCTGAAGATAACAGGTGCAGCCACGTCGAACAGGTTCTTATGAAGTGCTGAACAAGAATGCTCTCCTGCAAGTGGTTAAAATGTTCAATATGCAGTTGCTCCCCGAGGCCAGACGTGGCAAAAAACCTTTCAGACAGTCATGAAACTGCACCGACTTAAGTTCCTGTCTGTGGGATGGTGGACATGCTCAGATAATGAATGGGCAGGTGTGCTGCTGCTCCAAGTGTTCCAGCAATTTTTTAGAGTCACAAAGGCAGGACTGAGCTACTTCTGAAGTGATGAAACAAATGATAGAAATGATCTACTTGCACACTTCATTATGTTATCAAGCTGTACCCTGTTTGGGTGGTATTAACTGCTTCTGAGAGCAAGGACAGTTGTGATTATTAATGAGGTTTTCTTAATTTAAGCAGGGCCATCCTCTAATGTAAGACAGATGAAGAAAGACCAGAAACATCTGATGCATGAATTCTTAATTCTCTGAATTATAAAACGTGCAGACCAAGAATTACATCCTTTTGTATAGCACTAAGCATGCCATCAGTGCTTAAATAGCTGGTTAGTCTTCTCTTGACGAGGCTATCTAAAGCCACGTTAGGCATATTTGGATTAGAAGGAAAGGAAATAAAGCCAGTGCTTTTGAAGGCTTAAAATGCGGTTTGAAAGATTGTTTCTTAGCATTATTGACTGTTGTTTTTCCAGTGTCTTCAAATCCCAGAGTCCACTGCAGCAAGGAAGAACTGCTGGCAAAACCTCCTCAGCAAAACTTACTGCTTCAGGAGGAGGCCGTCAAAGTAGAGGTAGGAATTTGCATTGCTGTACCTCTGAGATGACCTCACTTCCCGAGCCCAGGGCACCTCGGAGCTGTAGTGCCAACGGGTGATGCCGTGTTCTGTAGCAAATGAAGATCAGCAGCTGAAAGTTCTGCTTTGCTTTGGTTGCGCAGGGCAGAATGTCGGAGCTGAGCGATGAAGCCAGCGAGTCAGAGCTGCTGAGCCGCAGCCTCTCCATGTGGCATGGGGTGGGTCAGATGATCTGTCGGGAAGAGCTGGATGTGCCCCTGGACTTGCATACCGCCTCCTCGGTCGGCCAGTATGAGGTGGTGCAGGACTGTATTCAGCGGTAAGGAGGGGCTGGGAGGGCACAGGTCTGTGGCTACTGGCTGCCAGTTACGGCTTGTCACTGGTAGGAGTTCCCATGCAGACTTCAGTGCTAGCATGCGTTTATTTTTCAGTCTTCTTTCAATACACTGATGATAATGAGAGGCTGCAGGAGCCTACTGGGACTTACAGCTCTGGGAGAGTCATTCAGCTGAATTCTTTTCTCTATTCTTTAGTGGAGATCTAGATTTAAATAAGAGGAACTGCGGTGGCTGGACTCCACTGATGTACGCCTCCTACATTGGCCACGACACCGTCGTACACCTGCTGCTCGAAGCAGGAGTGAATGTGAATATCCCAACACCAGAGGGCCAGACGCCACTCATGCTGGCCTCCAGCTGTGGAAACGAAAGTGTCGCTTACTTTCTTCTGCAGGTGCGTATCCCACAAAAAATACATAAAGGTGCGGGGCGTGGTTTAAGTGTGCAGGGTAAGAGACTTCACCAAAGCGTGTGATTTGTGTTCTGTTGCAAGCTCAGCTTCCTGACAGGGGTTTAAACTCCCTTGGTGTCATAGCGCAGAGGGACAGTGGCTAAGAGATCAGCAGAGGGGGAGCCAGTAAAGAACATTCTCTCTTCTCTTGAAGCAAGGCGCAGAGCTGGAGATGAAGGACATCCATGGCTGGACGGCCTTATTTCACTGCACCAGCGCCGGGCATCAGCAGATGGTCAAGTTCTTACTGGACAATGGGGCAAATGCCAACTGCAAGTAAGTTTTATTTCTGAAGAGATATTTCTGATATGAAAGCAGCAGTTGGCAAGTGAGCATGCTCGAACACAGCCAGGGATAAGATGCATGTTTTTGCCTTTCCTTCTGTCCCTTAGAAAGTATGGCATGCTCTAATAGCCCATACATTAGCCCATTTCCTGCCGTATGGAGTCTGCCTATACTGTCACTGTTTGTTTATATCGATGAGATCAAGAGAAAGTAGACTTACTGCTTGTTTAATTATGGGCCAAACTTGGAAAGCTAACAAGTACAACACCTTCTGAACTCAAGTGTACTTTACAGGTCCTTTCACTGAATTTTCTCTGTACTTGGAGTTCGTTTTGTGTGCAGTGCGCTCCCATGCCATGGAAACTGCTTCTACGTTTATGCACATTGAATTGTCTGAGGTCAACAAGAGGTTCTTGCTTTGTTAGCTCCTGCAAAACTGATTTTACCACTGATTTGCAACTGGCAGAGCAATCTGTTGCTGTGGAGCCAGTAGGCTTAACACTTGCTGTATCTTCTTGGGGAGTTTTACTGAGATAGACCAGAGTGTGGTAGGACAGCCAGCGCGTGGCAGAGTTTGTGATGAGCTGAGCGTGGAGGCCAGAGATGCTCTGTTCGGGTATGGCAGAGGCTGCAGCGTATTTCAGCTTTGATTCTCCTGGTCTGTCTTTGTGTTTTCTCACTAGGGAGCCAGTGTATGGATATACACCTCTGATGGAAGCAGCTGCTTCTGGCCATGAGATAATTGTTCAGTACCTTCTCAATCATGTAAGTGTCTAGACAGGGCTCTGTAAAGCTGAAAACCTGTGGTTCCAGCCCTTGGAGGAAGAGCCATGATTTTAACACCAGGCTTCTTAGTATTAGGTTTGATCCTTGACAGTCGCTTCTGAAGTCCCAGACTTGCAGGACTGTTATCAAAGTATCAGCTATTCTGATTTTACACTGGCCTAGCACAAATAGGAGTAGGGTCTAACTGTCCAGACTTTACTGGTTCATGACCAACTTGGAAAATGACTAAAGCAGTAACATTTATTGTGTTTACAGGCTTGCATGCTCAAGCTAGTGGATGTATTCGGCCTCTGAGAGTTTATGAACATGCATGTCTCAATGTTAAACCATTTGTTATTAATATCCCATGTAAGTGGTCATGCCTCCAGAAGGAGGCAGCAATGCAAAACACTTTTCAGAGAAAACGAACTATTTCCCTGGGGCAATGCCCAAGAGCCATGTACCTGGACTACTTGGCATTCAGGTATATATTTAGGTATATCTTAAGTGTGTATTTATTTTTTTCTGTAGGGAGCGAAGGCAGATGTCAGAGATAACACTGGGGCCACAGCACGAACACTGGCCATGAAGTACGGACATACGAAGATCGTGGGGCTGATAGACTTGCATGCAGCCCCAGTGCCCAAGGTCTTCTGCAGGGGTCCAGGTAACAAAGAGATGTTCTGGTTTGTTCTTTTTAAGATAGAACCTGGAGAGAGGTGTTTGTTTTGAGAGTATGTTACTGTGAGTATGGGGTAGTACCAGCTGGTGTCTCCTGAAAATTCCTTTTGAAGGATGGAAGAGGCATAGGTCCAACTCTTTCTTGTCTGCTGGTCCTTTTCTGACCTAGTTAAAACTGTTTCACCCTCTCACTTTTTAACATTTCCTTTTTTCTTTCCACTGCATTTACAGGCTTGGTAGCAAATAGAGTAGGTAAACTAATTACTGTGCTGCTGACGATCTGTGTTTGAACTACAGGAAAATACGAAGAGCTGAGCTCATCAGATGAGTCATGTTCTGCTCCCCAGAGACAGAGACCTGTTCGGAGGACCAAGGGTCCCAGCATCCATGATGGGCCCCAGGCTTTGGCTAAGATAACAGCAGTTGGAATCGGAGGAAAGAAGCAGTCTTGCTATGGTGAGAACTGTTAGAATTCTGAGAGTCTTTTACAGGTATTTGTGTGCAAGCTTTTTTTTTCCTCTTCATTTGGAATTTGTGTGGAGTTTGTACAGAAACAAAGATAGTGAATACTATCGTAAAAGGCTATGCAATCTCTGATTTAAAAAGAAAGTCCTTTGAACTCTTTTTGTCAGGGCTGAATATTGATTAGTGGAACACTTCTATGGAGCAAATGCTGCTCTTACCTCAATCACTCTTCCCCTGACTCTTGAGAACAGCCTAGCTTCCCTTGCTGAAGCAGGCTCAGAAGTTTGAGAACCCTCCTCAAGCTGATGACGGAGGAAGTGGTCACACAGGCAAAGATGTCATTCGTTGTAGAAGTAAACTTGGTGCTTCTAGACCTGTTGGTTCTGTCTTCCTTGATGCTTGAAATACTACTAAAAAGTGAGATTACAAAACCTCTGCAGTAGGCCAAGAGAAAGATGATCCCAGTTCAGAAATCAACCTGCAGGTGCAGTGCTATGAGTTTTCTGGTATCTGTCAGCCACAGGTATTCCTCAGGCTGGTTACCTAGTCATCTAGAATAACTAAGAAGATGGACTTAAAAACATTTTCAAAGTTCAGTTCATTCTCTTAATAAGTCTCTTAAGAGACTGCCCTGCAGGCAGTGACTATTGAAGTTGCACTGTCGGCTTCTTAAATGTCACTGGGGTGCTCCTAGGGTTTTGACACAGGTGCAGAGGATTTGGGTTTACAGGGTGGGTTTGGCTGGGAATGGGACATAGCTGGCACCTTGCTCTTAGGCAGGTGATTTTTCTCCATTAACTTGTGTCTGAAGAGGTGAGGAAGTAGTGAAACCTGCTATTTAAGGTATGTCTCTGCTGCGAGGCCTCTTCCTCTAACTTTTTTTTTTTCCAGTGCAGCCATCTAAGTCAAGTGCAAGTAAGGTGTGTTTGTGTGAGGCAGGCTGTAGGTGTATGCGTTTCATTTTTCTTTTGCTGTCCTTTTTAGGATGAAACCTGCTAGTTGAGAAGACAGTCTCTTTTGATTATTTTCAAATCCCTGAGTGGTTACTTTTCCCGCTGGAGCCTCCCCAGTAACTTGTTTGTTCTCTCTTTCTCTTGCACACAGAGCAGGTCCCTCCTCAAGGCTATGTTACCTTCAATGACGATGGCAGCTGTGAAGCAGATGATATACGGAACCGGGATGTTACCTCCCCAATTAATGAGCAGGATGTAGAGAGCAGCAGCAGCAGAGGTAAGTCACCATCTCAGAAAAGACCTGTCTGTAGTGTGCACTTGGATGTGAGACCAATCCTTTGACTTAGATGTTCCTTTCTCACTAAGATGTTGAGATTTGGAGTGTCTCTCCTGAGGAAAGGCTGAGAGAGCTGAAGTGGTTTAGCCTACAGACAAGATCCATGGGGATCTCATCAATCTGTACAAATAATTTTAAGGGAGGGTGTGAAGAAGATGGAGGAAGGCTGTTTTCAGCGGTGTCCGGTGACAAGAGGCCATGGGCACATGCTGAAAGACAGAAAGCTCCCTCTGAACAGAAGGAAATGCCTTTTTTTTTTTTTTTTTAACCTACTGTGTGACTGCATGCTGGAACAGGGCATCAGAGGTTGAGAAGTCCCCATCCTTGGCTGTAAGTGGCCCTACTTGAACAGGGAACTGAGCGAGATAACCTTCAGAGTGCCTTCCAACCTCACCATTCTGTGATTCTGCAGAGCACTGCAAAGGAAGGATCTATGGGTGGTTCCCAAATTAATACAGGATAATGTGGCTGTGCATTGGCTCAAGGAAAGGCCTTTCCTGAGCTTTGCTGCCAAGCCTGCTCTCCCATTAGTAATAACCCACTTGTCTACCCTGTAACCAAGAGCCTCACAGAAACACACACCCAGCCTTCCTGTTCTCTGTGGTACTGAACAGTCTTGGAGAAAGGTTAGTGCCTTTTTCTGATATTTGTCTTGGCATTGTCTTGTCGTGAGTGCTGTGTATGTAGCCTTGCTCAGGATTTCCGCTTACTTTACACTTCAAGCAGGTTTTGCTTGAAGGAAGTTGAGACTCAGACTTTTATGTTCCTATTCCTTTCTAGAAGATAATGTTTTCTTCAACAACAACTTAGCAGCTGTCAGGAGCAGCAGCAGCAGCAGTGACTGCCTGACCAAAGCTCTGGGTGTCAGCAGTGAAGGCTCCTTGGAAAGCAATGAGGTGGGGGTTTCAATATTCCTTTTGCTGCCAGTGCTGTCACCCTTCCACAGCCTGCTAGGAATTGGGAGGCTGTAGGGCCAGGCTGGGAAAGGTGCTATTGCAGGGACAAGAAAGCCAGTTTCTGTATTTGAATATTATGGATTTACTTGTCTGATCTTCAGCTAGTAGCCAGCTCTCACAGCACATTCACTCCAGAGCAGATTGTTAATGGCGAGTCAGTAACTTTTTAAAATTTTCTCCAGCTTCTGCACTCTTTGCTTGCTTTTAGCTAGATGGTGGTCAGTGCTTGTGCTTGATGAGATCACCGGCAGCCTAGTAAGGTTTGGAGAAGCACAGCAGTGCTGTGTTGGCCTTTATGAAGTACAGAAAGAGGAAGAGATTGGAAGTTACTCTGTGGTTCAAGACATGGCTCTGGGGCTGAGGTACAGAAAGATGATGTAGCTGAACTTGAGCAAAAGTCACATGTATCTTGAGGAGCTTCTTGCAGGTGGGATCTCAGGGTGCTGTGTTGTTCAGGGAGGATTTGGCATTGCTCTTTGCTCTGGCATGTTGCTTCCTAAGCTAGGATTGCAAAGCCTGATACCATTCTGTGGTACCAAGCTGCTGTCTTGGGAGTTACTTGACTCAGCCCTTCCTAATAAGGGCTTTGTTAGTCTTTGTGACTGTAGACCGCTGTCTGGATTTAGAGCTTGTGGCTTGAAGGAGTCTACACTCGTTAGCTTTGATGATGCTGACGTCTTTGCACGATCATCCTTGATCTTTCCATTTTGTGTGTTGTTCTTTTCCTTTTTTCAGGACTCTGACCATGCAAACAGTCCCCCTAGTCGGAAACAAGCCAAGAGCTTTAAGATCAAGAACCGCTACAGCAACAGTGATAGCCAGTGGACCCACTGCCTGTGGAAAGCTGGGGGCTCTAGTCAGCACCTAATCCTTCCTGAGCCCCCTGCCTATACAGGGCCCCAGGTAACCACACACAGAATCACAGAAAGCTGTCTCTGAGGTAGCGCACGCTGTGTCGCCATGTCAGGCATAGGGACTTTTTTCAGGGTTGCCCAAGCTGCTTTTGCTTTTTTTTGCTTCTCAGATCAAAGGAAAGCTGTCAACAAAACCCCTTTGATTCCAAGCCTCTGCCTGAACTTAAATGTTTGTGAAATGGCAATTTCCTTCGTGGAAAACTGTTTGCTTAAGTGTTGCTGTTGCTTGGAGGGATATTTGAGACCCTTGAGGCCTGCGGGTGTGTTGCTAAGCATGGCTGTGCTGTGGGCTGGGGTAGATACCAGTGTGTCTCCCCTGCATGTGTTACAAAAGGGAATGGCTGCAGCAGGCAGGCAGTTGTGTCGTGTGACTGTGTAGCAGGGCGTTTAACCAGAGGAAATCGTGGCTGCTGCTAGAACCCAGAAAGGCACAACGACGTGAGGAAGCAGATGCTTATGACCTACAAGGAATGGTAAGGTTTTTGTCTGAGGGTTACAGACAAATCTGTTTTGGATGGATTGCAGGACCTGGCAACGTTCCTTGAGCAGATTGGGTGCCTGAAGTATCTGCAAGTGTTTGAGGAGCAGGATGTTGACCTCAGGATATTCCTAACCCTCACAGAGAGCGATCTGAAGGAAATTGGCATCACGTGAGTGTCCGAAGTGTTGTCCTTGTCTTTCTCCTTTTACAAACCATGAGCACAACCTGATCAGGAAAACTTAGCTAGTGACTGCTTTCCTGTCTCCCACATGATACTCGTATCCCCTAGTTCTTGGCTGTAACAGGTTCCTGGTTCTGGAGATGCTTGGAGGAAGCAGGAGACCACAGAGGCGCCTTTGGGTCGAGGGGTGCACTGTTTGCTCCTTGACAGTTTGCCATTCTCCCACCAGTTTGTTTGGCCCTAAGAGGAAGATGACTTCTGCCATTGCACGGTGGCACAGCAACGCTCGGCCGCCCAGTGATGCCCTGGAGCTGGCCTACGCTGATCGACTGGAGGCTGAGATGCAGGAGCTGGCCATTCAGCTGCACAAGGTAAGAAATCTGCCAGGAGCTGCTTAATGTTTTACCACACTGTACTAACCAGTCAGTAGCATTTTTGTGCCTTTAGTGGCCCGAGGTAAAGGAAAGACACAACTTTCAGTGGACACGCCTGGTGTCAAGTAGATCAGGTCACACTAAGCGCAGCTTATCAACTCCTCATCCTCCGTGCTTTGTGCTTTTGAAGCCTTTGTGTCTCTACTTTCCATCCATCTGAGAGCTAGAAGAGGGAGTGGGAGGAATTTGAATACTGACTCTTTCAGTAGTGTCATTTTTTTTTTCAAGTTGTGCAGCCATCAGTGAACAGACTCCTGACTTGGGAAACTGGGCCTCCTAAGTGTCTTTGTAAATCATAGAATCGTAGATGAAGAGGGAGGGGGAATTGTAACTGTGGGGCTGGTCTTTATGTGGAGAGAAACTATATTCGGTGTGCAAATCTTACGCAGCTTCTTTGCCCACTGGATTGTATGCACTTTTGCAGGAACCCTCTGGCTGCCTAAGCCATTAAAATAGCAGGGACTTGTGTCTGCTTTGACATGTCCCGTGTGAGTAATGTGTGCTACTTCCAGCCTAACCCTCCCTTCTGCTCCACTTTAGAGGTGCGAAGAGGTGGAGGTGATGAAGGGTCAGGTGTGCCAGGAGCAGAAGCTGCGTGCCGTGGCTGAGAGCTGTTTGATGGAGCGGGATGAGACCTGGAACGCCATCCAGTGCCAGCTCAGAGAGGCTCAGGCCATCACCAAGGATGCTGGAGTTCTACTGGATCAGATTAAGTAAGTCATTCCCAAGAAATGGCACTGAGGCTACTGGGAAATGGGATTTGGGCTGTATAGGGATCAGAGCTCCTATTGGTAGCCTTGCAGGTGATACTTAGGGTAAGGCAGGAGAGCTCACCAGGGATCTGAACCCATTTTGGATCCTGCCTGACTTTCTTCAGGTGAAAGTCGCAGCCACGTGAGCGCATGTGAAGCCTTAATGAGATGTAAACTTTTCAGAGATGCTGGGTGTTCCTCTTTCAACCAGGAGGAACCAAAAGGTTGAGTGCTTTGTGCTTACATGAGACCCTGTGACCAGGGTGTAACTGAGCGGGTGAATGCATGAGAGAGTTTCTACCTTCCAGATTGCATCGAAGGACTTACAATGTCTTGCCCTGGCTAGTGAGGAATGCTTTTCTTCCAACTCTGACACCCGGCAGAAAAATCTGTGTTTACTCAGACCCCTGTCTTCTGTCTTCCCCCACCTTTTGTTGCCTTGTGGTGCTTTTCCCCCTGCCCCAGTTGGACTCCTGTCATGGGTCCTGTTCCGTCCACTGATGGAGCAGAAGTGTCCCTGGAGGTGGCATTAAGCCTACTGCTTATAGTTCCTAGCCCTGCAGGGCATGAGGTCTGCTCACTGTGTGAACTGGGCTTGGCTTCCAAAAGGACGGCAAAGCAATATTCTGAGCTGTAAGGGGCAGAGTACTTGTCTCTTTTTTTTTATTACTTTTCCCCCAAAGTGAGGAGCTGAGGCCATACACTGTTGGAATTGTTGGTACAATGACAGCCAGAGAACTTTGTGTGCCTCTTGGGCTTTGACCTGATGCCTGCCCTGCAGTAGCTTCATTTGCCCTTTAGAAACCTTGGATCAGGCCTGGCTCTCGTACAAACCAGGCACAGCCCCTGGCTCGGGCTTTCTCCTCCTCACCCTGCCCCCTCCTTTTCTTCTCCCCCCGCAGCACCTCTGTGGACAGGGGCAGAGATTACTGTGGAGATGGGGCACAATGGAGAGCGCCCTGAGCTTTGTCTGGGGCACATCTTCCTCTTCCTGGGAAGGAACAAGGAGCAGTTTGTAACCCAGGGCGTTAGATGCGCTCCCTCGGCACCCTGAGCAGGTACTTGCAGGGCGTAGGAGTGCACAGACTGGCACGTTGTTCCGAGGAGTGGCCCTACGAGTGCTTCTGATGGCCTTTGTCTTGTCTGGCAGATCCTGTCAAGCAGAGCTGTCCTCCCGGCTAACCCAAGAGCAGGCAGTCAGCGGAGCACTGGATGCAAAGGTGCAGCTGGGAGCTGGCGAGAGCAGGCGGCCTGGTGAGCGCCCGAGTGAGTAAGACCTTATAAAACTACAGAAATGGGTGCAAGGGATGTGTAAATGGTTGGAAATCCCAGAGCAACCCATGTCCTTGTACCCATGTCCTTGTCTTTTCATTGCTCAAAGAATGAAGTTAGAAGTGACCTCTAACTGATGAGCAACCAAATCCCTAAATGTAATGAAAAAATTTCAATGTAATATAAAGCTTCTTGCTCAGGGAAAGGATTTAAAGCACTTGAGGTGTTTGGACTTCAACTGCAGCAGTTTCTTGGCATCTTTTGGCTCTTAGCAAGTGGGAGGTTTGGGAGTCAGGCAGGTGTTTGTGGCTAACAGCACAAAGCTGTAGCACAGGCACCCAGTGCCAGCCCTGTGTTGCAGACCCGTGGCTTCCTGCGCTGTGCACTAGAGCAGCGTCTGAATCGCAAGCTGAGGTTGGTTCCCTGACCTGGTCTTGGGGAAATGTGCTGTTCAGGCCCTGGGGTGAGCTGCCACGTGTGACTGGGCACGCTTGGCCCACCAGCTCCTTACGACGAGGAGCTGGCAGGTGGTCCTGCATTCAGAGATGTGGTTTTGTTGCTTGTGTTTTAAAAGCGAGACAAGTAGCAGTCCTGCGAACTTGTGTGTGCTGTGCTTAATCTCTTTGAGATTCTTCTAATATATAACTCAGCCAGTATAAGTTGAAAACCAAAACCCATAAATATGGGGTAGAATTGCCAGGAAAAATCCCGTCAGGTTATCACAGGCAGTTCCAGCTCTCTCTTCCCCTGTGACTCGGAACCTGTAAGTGGAGGCACTTTGGGTGTGGGTGCTTCACAGCAGCACTGAACCGTTGTCTCTGCTCTGTCACAGAGTATGCAGATTGATGACAAGTGTGGTTCCTCTTTCTTGCAGTGCTGGAAGGATGGCCACCTTCCTTGAAATCCCTGAGCTTGCCTGAGCTGTCAGCTGTCCTAGAGGAGCGTGTGGAAGAAATGGGTACGGTGGGACTCTGGGCACATGAAGTGACTGTTGTGCTGGAGGGGAGGCATGGCTGGGCACATTTGTGATGATCTGGTCCTGGTGGGTTGCAGGGACCTAATCCCTCCTTGTTCAGGCAAGTCTTCAGGCTCTGAAGTTGGTGCTGGCATTTCTGGCACTTTGTTCTCACTGCGGTTCTTGGGCTCTGCCTCATCCTCTGCTGACAGATCCAGGCTGAGAGAAAGGGATACATGCCCCCCATCTCTCCTGCTTAGTGGTCAGAGTTGCCTGTGATGTGGTTCCCAAAGCCTGTGTCCTGGTCTCCTGGAATTTGTTCAACCAACAGGCAATCAGAGAGGGGAGAGACTCCTGGTTTTTGGGAGAGAAGGCAGCACGAAGGCAGGATAATGCAGACTGCAGGCTCTTTTTTAACGCTTGCTGACTTATCACTGTTACTGATTTTCTTTTGGTTTGTCCTCAGGAAAAGCTCTGCAGACTGTGACTCAAAACCTCCAAAGGCTACAAGCCCCAGGGCAGAGCTGGCTAGAGCCTTAACAAAGCAGGAGGGTGAGTGGGAGCCTGGGACAGCTGCAGAGGGCTGTGGTGTGGAGGGGAGCAACATCTGCATGTAGTGGCCGTCTGCTGCGTGTGCCCAGCGCTCGCTCGTGGCCTGCGCCAGGGGAGACTGTGCTTGAGCCCTTACGTGCCCGTGGGTTGGTTTTCCCTTTGGAAAATCCTTAGGTTCCTTGTTCCTCTGGAAGGATGACTGACCTCTTTTTCCTGGCGGCTGCAGGAATACTGACGTCGGGTGATTGTTCCACCCGGAAGCTGAGTGTGCCTGGGAGAATGAGCGCAAGGGCTGCACCAGCAGCACTGCTGGCAGCTGGTGGATGCGTCGAGGAAGGTCTCGGCCATCGGAGAACGTGCCTGGGAGAATGAGGGACAGCAGAAGATGACAACCCAGCAGCTCCTTGGGCCTGGTTTGTCTGGGATCCCAGGGTCATCGTTGCTTGTACCAAAAGTTTAGGTTAAGAGCCCAGAAGTTCGATCTGCCTTGAGCTCCCTGCAGCCTTTGTCATTCAGGGCTGTGCAGTGTTAGTAAGTTGATGGTTACCCACAGCAATGAATTAATCGCCCTTTTCTGCATCCAATCCCCACCTGAGGCTTCTGAAACTTGCCCTGGCTCCTGTGCCGTGTGGATTGGCACAGAATGTGCATCTTGGCACAGCCCCACAAAACGTATCTGAGGCAATGAGCAAGGCAGGTTGGTTGCAGATGGGTAAAGTGAAGTGGAGTTTGTGATTTATTTTTTTTTTTGGCTCACGCAGCCCTAATCTCTGACTGGGATGTCTGCTCTACTGCCAGCCCAGCTCTGTACTTCAAAACCTCTCCCTCCAACCAGCCCACCCAGATTCAGTTCAGACTCTTCTGACCACGTGTTAGTCAGTCCCAAAGAACTTGGTTTTTGTGGCGAGACTCTGTCAGGCTGGTTTGTCAGTGCCAAGATCCTGACGGTGACAGCAGTTGCAAGGCAGATGTTCCCCTGGAAGGACATGAGAGAGAAAGAAGAGCTTGAGACGATTCAGTGCCCTCTGGCAAGCAGCGGGCGCCAGGGAAGGCAGAACAGGAACTGAGGGATAAATGTGTCCCACATGAGGTGGGTGAAAGAAATCGCACCCCAGAGGGAGCTGTGGTGCAAAGCTTTGGTCCTCAACCACTGCCTGCCTTTGATTTCCAGGCTTTTGTGTTTGGAAATAGTTTTGCCAGGGCATTCTGGTGTCTGCCCTTTGAAAATGCCCACGGCACGACAAATGATGCAGGAAGAGGCCTCCTCCTCGGAGAGACTGCTCCGTCTCCTGGAGCTGGGCGAGCCCCCAGGGGCTCTGGTGGCACTTACATTGGTGTAAAGTGGTTTCCAGGGACTTACTGTTCCTGTGTATTGCTGAACCCTTGGAGCTAGGGGGAACAACAGCCAACAGAAACTGAAGTGGGTGAGTCATGGCCTTGATAAGTCTAGAAGAATCTCTTTGGGAAGAGGAAGAAACTGTGTGTTTCTTCTGATTTTTGGACCTGAATACAAAAACCCATTCTGGCTCCATCCTTTGAGCTCGTCACCCCTTCTCATGGACTGCCTGAGGCCGGTTAGGCAGCCTGGCTTTGGTAAAGGTGGGAGAGGTCTGGCTCTTGCCTCCGGCTTTTTTCTCGGATGTAACACTTCAACTTACCACAGCTTGCCATTTCTTAATCTTTAGCAAATGCCATGGATGTGTGCACGTGGGCACCTGGCAGTGGCTGCGGCTGTGGGAGATTTCACACTGAAGAATTGGCTTTGATAAGGTGGAGCCAATTCTCTGAAGGCAGCGTCTCTGAAAGCTTCTCAGAGTATTGAGGCTGTACTGGGTGCAGTATTTTGGGCAGAAAGGGGAAAAGAAGTAAAAATAAAACTGGAGAGCAAGTGCAGCCCTGACTCGGTGCCTTTGGAGCTGGGCAGGAGGTGCTGGAAAAAGTGACTGCATTGACTTGAGGCTGATTTTGCTTGATCAGTGGGTAGAAGAAAGGTTTTGGTTTTTTTGAGGGGGTAGGATAGTAGATCCAATAGATTGTAGTGCTTTGGGGGACTGGGAAAAGGGGTGAGCGAGAGATGCAACAGTGTATTTAGGAAGGAGAGACCCACAGAAAAGGTGCTGCAGGAGCCCAGAGGTAAAGGCTCAATAAAAGGGTGCTAGAGGAGCCTGAGAGGGATACAAGGGAGAAGATTTGATAGAAGAGTGTTTCCCTGAGGAGACAATCCCTTAAATGTAGGACTTTAAACAGCATTAATTGCCGAAAGGGTGGCTGTGCAGGCAGCAGGGAGTCTGGTGCTACCCTAAGGCAAGCTGTCTGAGTAAAATAGTATTTCCTGACTTGGATAAAATAATAAAAGCTGAAAACTCTCTTTTTCTTCTTTCTGTTGTGTGGGTTTCTGAGGAGGGAACGGGAGGTGTAGAATAATCATCAGTAACCTTGCTGATTACTTTCCGGGAGGAACCTGAAACCACCTCCCCTTTCATGCCATGATTCGTGCTTTTGGGGTCAAGAACTTTTCTCAGCTCCACTTTGTGCACAGCAGCACTTTGGAGAGCAGCTGGAAGCTCCAGGGCCTTTATTTATTACCATCATGTTAAGTGTGTTATTTTCCTCCTTCCCTCTCTGTATTCCTGGGGAGGGGAACATAATGCCTTGTGGCTCCAGGGGCCCTGGGTGCCTCTAATACCCCTGGAACCGGGGCTGCATGTGCACCAGTGCAAATCGGTGCCCTCGCACCTGCAGCCTGAGCGCTGTTTCCCTCCCTGGGAGCAGACAGAAGCAGTGGCTCTGCTTGCTGAAAAATAAACATTTATTTACATCTGAAAAGAGCATTAATGTACAAAATCAGCACAGGGGTTACAACCAATCCAGGAAAGCTGGCGGGGTGCCCCAGCCGGGAGCCTGGCTGCAGCTGAGCCTGGCGCAGCCTCTCTCTGTGCTCAAGGCGACTTCCCTTGAGACACCACGACTCGGACAGAGTGTGGAGATGGAGAATAGTCTCTGTTCTCTTGCACATAGCAGCGATGCTCCTGCGCTTCCTCGGGCTCACCGGCCTGCTCGGCAAAGGGCGTGCGGCTCATGCTTTGCCGCGCACTGTGTTGTGCTCCAGCTGTTGCACAGCTGGGCCCAGAACCACCGAGCCTAGTGCCAGCGAAGTGCCTCCTGCTTCATGGCTCTCCCTGCTGTGAGGGGGGAGGTGGATGGGCTGGATACTGGGCCACAGGAGGTCAAGCTCAGCTCCCAGCGCACGGATGCTCTCGAGTCCTTCTGTCTGCCTTGTTTTCCCCAGCCAGTGAAGGAGAAGCGGCACTGCCCTTAAAGCACAGGGTAAACACAACAGTCAAGCACTTGGGCGCTGCAGGAAAGGATGCCCGTTCCCGCTGCCTTGGCTCTGCTAGCTGTGAAGGGGAAGGTCCGGAGGGGCTCTACTGCAGGAGCTCAGAGAAGAGGAAACGTTGAGTTCTGCATGGCTAGAGGGAGGTAGATGCCAACACCACGTTCTGTGCCAGCAATGAGGGTGGTGAGAAGGTGCGGAAGCAGCACCTGGCTGGAAAGACCTTTGAAGGATGATTCCAGCCTTGTCTGGGAGCTCTTGGGGCAGGGGTGAGATGGTCCTTGCTTCAGGAAAAGAGAGCAGGAAGGTGATACCCTGGCTCGGAGCAGCACTGCCATGGCCCAGGGTGCAGTGGGAGTGTTCCTTTATCTGAGTAGCAGCGCTGATTCAAGCGGTGTCTCCTGTTCCCCACCCCCGGCCAGGCTCCCTCTCCGGGCACCACGATCTCCTCCTGCAGAAGCCCAGGTGGGTGTGGATGAGGTTTTCCGTGAGCATGTCTGGTGGAGGAAGCTGATGGTGCCCCAGCAGTGACAGAAAGCAGCAGGCATATCTCCCTGTGCAGCTCACTGAGCCCACGTCAGGTGAGGCTCTTCTCGGGTGGGCAACGAGGTTTGGTAAGAGCCAAGCATCGCTGCCCCACCCTCGGACCACAGCAGGGAGGAGGTGTCCT